CATGGCTAGGGCGATCCGCTCAGCCTCGAATGTCTTCCGAACTTCAGCCATGGCTTCAGTCATCTCCTCTCAATCCAGTCGAGCCCTTTCGGCCAGCTGCGCTTCATTGGCCAGGAACTCTCTCTTAGTGTTGGCCTCTGCTAGCCCGGCCTGGCCCTGGATAGATTGCATGAGAAGACGCGTGCAATTATGCTCGTCCATTGGGTAACGCTCTGCACGCAGCCATGGTATGTTACACTTGGGCCACACTTCAGAGCAATTTTTGCATACTGGATTCCTACATGCACCTTCTGGCTTGTTTGCTTTTCCCGGGCATCTGCTTTCCGCCTGGGGCGCGCAGTTAGGGTTAGGATTCCAACAGGCCTCCGCCATGGAGATGGTGCTGTTGCTCCTTGAAGTGGAAAGTAGATCTCGCTCCTGATCTTGGTATCTTGGGTCTTCCCCTGCTAGAAGCATTTGATCTGGGGCGAACGAAGGTATTTCCTGGGGGTTTAGGCACGTCCCAAAGCTCCTCATCCTTTCCGTCTTGTGTTATTAACTCAGTACACGAAACTGGTTGTCCAACCGTTTCTTCATCCTCAACAACAGCTGGTACCGAGGGTTGCCAGTCACCTGAGGTGGCGGCAGTACGGAAGAAACCTTCTTTCAGTGGTGAGACGTTTAGTTCATAATCCTCGTTTCTTTGTTTCTTGAGGTGAGGTGCAGGGGTCCGTCCTGTGGACCCCCTCTCATGCTTCGCCTGGGCCTCCGTCCTGTCCGCCTGAGGCGTCAGGATACTAGTATCTTCATCGGATCCATCTGGAGACAACCTCTCGCCTTGGGCGGGGAGGTCTTCTTCCACCATCAGGGAAATTCTCGGCTCAGGGAAATTTCGTTATTGATATTATCAAAATATTGCTCCATGGAGTTTATCTCATGTCCTTTATCAATGGGATCATCACTGTCCTGACCAAATTGTCCGTTTAATGCTATTGGGATGGGAATGTTCGTATTCGTACCTGCCCGTTCGCTTGGGATGCTGGGGTGCGCACCTACGTTCTCATGGGCTTCCCCTGGCCGGCTGGTCTCACCAGCGGCTGTTGCAATAGCATGTGTAGCATTCGGAATTGGGCTGATTGACTCCGTCGATTTGGCACTCCAAGACGAAAACGCACTTCGTCGAGTTCTTGCTGTCACGCCATCTCGTCCGTACGGGTCTGGGGTCTGCTCTCGATTACCAATCGGAATTCCAGCGGGTGAAACATCTACCGACATCTCTGCCACTCCCTCAGTACTTCTACCCCTAGTTACCCGAGTGGCGATATAGGAATGAGGGATGCGATCCTGAATGGGGCCGCTCTTGATCATGTCGTATCCGTCATGTTGTTCGGCGCGCCCGTCGGCGCTTCTCGAGACGATGGACACGACGTCTGTCTTATCACAGCTCATTCCCGCAGCGACTAAGTCGTGGGGCTCATTCGAAGTTCCTTGTTTTGGTTGAGATCGTCCCGCGTCGACTAAGTCGCGCGTTTCGGCTGATAACCAGTGTCTTCCTCCGAGAATCGGGATACTATGCCAAAGGAATTAAGATCTCACGTTCACTCTGCTCAGGGAGAGAGGGGACGGGATCAGACATCGATAAGACAAGTATCCGTTAAGCAAGATTACTCTATCAATAATGTGAAGGAAAGAGGCTGGCTGGCCTACGGCCGACGACGCGTGACGGCCGAGGGCTGGCGCGCTCTTTTTCTCTCCTGCAAGCCAAGGCTGGCTTGTTTGAGCAATCGATACAGCTGCAGGATGCAGCAGTAGTTCAGGCAGACAGTGCAAAGCATGCAAGTTATCTGAAGTTCTAATTGAATATGAGGCGGAGAGGAGCATATTTACTCCTCCCCCAGCAGACCTCAAACGGCAAATCCTGCTCGCCCTAAATGTTCCACGAAATATAAGAAGCCACTGTCCGTATGTCCATGATCGACTTGCAACTGTACTGGACCCAACACGAGCCAGTTCGGGGCCTCGGCTTAACTTTGAGAAACTATGAAATGATGCCCTGCAGCATGTTCGGCCTCTACCTTAGACCCGGTAGTGCTCAATGATTGGAGGCACATGTCCGCGCGAAGCCTGTTCAAACAACATGGCCTCTCTCTGCCCACTCTGATCGCCTTCGCCGCAAGCCGCCGTCTGCGGGACCCATCCCCTGGCACCCCCGCGCCCAATGCAGAGCCAGGCGGGGTTAGACTTCCCAGGCACTGACCCTCACCTTCCTCGTGATCGTCCTCGTCGTCGACTGGGGGGACAAACCAATACCGATACCGCTTCTCCCCGTTGCTCTCCCAAAATACGATCTGACCAACATTTCGAGGAGAATCCAGCCGTGGTGACGAGGGCTACGGAGAGCGAGCAGCGGTATCGGTATCTAGAGGCCTCCAGATGGAGTCCGAGCAGATGGGGTCGGAAGATGCCGCATCGCCGATGCATCGGCGATGCGGCTCGATGTGGAGCCAGACTTTCTCCACGCCGATGTCACCGATGCATCGGCGAGGCGGCGCGATCCCCCGACCCATCTATTCGGACCTCAACGGGGAGGCCCAGAATATCGCTTCCTCCTCTGATCGTCGTCGACGTCGTCGCCGGCGTCTTGCGGAACCACTCGGCGCCCCCCTTTGACTACCTACCAGACCACCCCAACCCAACCCGAAGACCCGAATTTCGGGTTGGGGGGGTATGGGCTCCACATGTGTTTTTCGATGTTCCCGGACCCCCCCCACTAGAAATCGAGGGTAAATCTGAGCCTTCGGGTTGGGTTGGGGTTGGGGTGGTTTGGTGGGTGGTGACCCTTGGGCGCGAATAGTGTGGGGGGGGGGGGGCGAAAGTGGAGGGGGAAGAGAGGTGCCCTTTTCGCTCCCTACATGCCCCCTCCTGGGCCCCAGAGGGCCCCTTCAGGGGCCCTACAGGCACTCGTTTCTGAAGCCCTCGCTGCCCCCCCCGGTTCATCGCTCCCGGCCATCGCGCGTCCTCCGACCCCCCACCCCGCCGAAGGCAGAGCCGGGTGGGTAGACGTCCAGCAGCCGCCCCGGGCACTCGCCCTCGCAGCCGGCACCGCAAACGCAGGGGCCCTCGGCCTGGGGAAGCCGCGGGGGCGGCGGGGGGCGAGAGGCCGTCAAGGACTCAAGGGCTCCTGCTATCCCTCGACTCGCGCTGAAGCGTCCACGATCTGCTCGAGATTTTCCTGGTCATCTCCGGACTGGCCTGGAGCAATCCGGATTTTTCTTAATCAATCTGGATGTGCCTCGGTGTATCGGGATTGATCCCTATAGTGAGATGGCAAAAAGCCGTCAGTCCTTAGGGAAGAGGAGCGGGGAGCCGCGCGGGCATGTCTGAGCTGAAGGTCGATGCGTTCCCGGAACTCAGATAATCGGTTTGTTTCAATCCATGCGCTTATCCTTCTGTCGACCCGCGGAGGTCGGTTCTGGGCCGCCAACACGGCAAGAGAGGCTTCCAGGACGGCCAAGGATTGTCCTAAGGGGAGCTCAAGAAAGGTCCCGAAGGGGGAACGAATCGACATTTCGAGCTCTCCGCCCCAAGAAGTTCCCCGAGACCACCAGTGGGTCACCAAGGGGCACCCCAAAGTCTCAGGAGGCTTCCAGAAAGACCAAACATACCCAGGATGTCCTCAAGAGATCCTGGAGAGGCCCCAAGGCACCCATAATCGTCTCCAAAAGGGCATCCAAGAGGGCTCTGACCTACAACCTAGGCGCAGTGTCCCTGCGGCTTGCCAAACGGGCGCACGGCGTGCTGAATGCTTGATGATCGCTGGCTCTTTCAAAACTCCCAGTAGCACCTCGGCCCAGCCCGCCGGCCGCCAGGCAATCCCGGGAACATACTCAATCCGTCGGTGTTACCCTCCAACATGGCCCCACTATGGCTTCCAAGACAGCTAAGATGGCCTCTAAGATAGCCCAAGGAGAATTCAAGATAGCCCCAAGAGTACGTCCAAGACGGTCCCAAGACTGGCGGCGAGCGCGCGGGGGAAGTGAGCAGGGGCGGGCCATCTCAGATCTGAGAAGTTTCCTAAGCCTTCCCCGAAGATACACAAACTTCTCAGAGGACGTGAGGGCGTCGAAAAAGTCCCGCCGTCCGCGAAGAAGGCCTTCTCCTTCTCACTTCCACCCCGTCGCTCGCCGCCGCGAAGATACCCCCAAGACCGCCCAGATGGTCCAAGAAAGCCCAAGACGGCCCAAGAAGGCCCTAAGAAGCCCCTGAGACAGCCCAGGAGGCCTCCAATGGGGTCCTCCAAAGGCCCGAGGAAGACAAAACCAGTGATTTTCGTTCACAGGACGGTTGTTGCAAGATGTCGGCACTTGCTTCAGCACGGCCTTCCGACGGCCCTGTGGGAAAAAAAACGCACACACACACACACACACGTGAAACACACACACACACACACACACACACACACACACACACACACACACACACACACACACACACACACACACACACACACACACACACACACACACACACACACACACACACACACACACACACACACACACACACACACACACACACACACACACACACACACACACACACACACACACACACACACACACACACACACACACGCGTGAAACACACACACACAAGCACACACATCGTGGGGAAACAACGTTTCCCACTGTGTGTATGTGTTTGCGTGTTTGTTGTGTGATTTTATGTGTTGTGTGTGTGTGTGTTTGTTGTTTTTGTTCCCACAGTGTGTGGTTTTCGTGTGTTTATTTTGAGGCCCCTGCGATTGCCCCAAGATCGCCCAAGAGACCTCCAAGACGGCCCGAGGGCGGCCCCAGAGGCCCACAAGGCGGCCCCAAAAGGGACTCCCAAAACGGCCCCAAGAGTCCTCCAAGGCGCCCCAAGAAGGCCCCAAGAATGGCCTTCAAGAAGGCCCTGGCTCGCAGTGCCCCGGCGCCCCCCTCTTCCTCCTCCTCCTCCTCCTCCTCCTCAAGGCATCTGGGTCAGGAGCGCCAGCACAGGTGCCCAGGGCGACAGGCGCCCAGCTCCTACACCACCTGCATGCCTCCTCTCAGAGGCATCCCTCTCACATCTTACCTCGTTTCTGATGGCTTCTAGATGTCGCAGTGTGGGCTGCTGGCTCCTGCTCGTGCGCGTGATGGTCGGCAGCCGTCTTCGAGTGCTCCAGTACAACCCCTTGCACGCATCCAGCGGGGAGAGGCTCACAGCGATCGCACAAGCCTGCCGAGCCTACGACTTCGTGTGCTTGAACGGCACGACCGCCAAGGGTCACGGACGTGAGAGACCCTGGGAGGCACGCTGGCGGAAGGCAGGAGATCACAATTGGTGCATAGAGAGTGGGTGGTCCCGTGGGCCGTATACCAACAAGAGTGCGGGCTGCAGCATCATCCTGGGGGCCAAGGTGAAGAAGGCTTCCGTGACGCACACGTGGACCCCCGCTGGGTCCCTCGCGGGGCGTGGGCTCGCGCTCCGCGCCAGGTGCTCCAAGTACGACCTCGGCGTCTGCTCGGCCTACTACCCACCGCCGCCCGTCAAGGGCGGCCAGGACGTCTACCGCCGCACCTGCGATGCGCTCACGGACTGGCTCCGCTCGCTGCCCTACCTCAGCTCTAAGCGGGTCCTCCCCATCTTCTGCATCGACCTGAATTCAGGGCTCGGACTACACCAGCTCGACGGTGACCCACAGTGGCGGCCCACCACCTCCGACGTCAGCGGCCCGCTGGCGCTGGACAAGCAGCGCTACGCCGCCACCAGTATTCTGCCCCTCATGGAGGAGCTCGGCATGGTTGCGGTCAACAGCTACATAGGCCTGGGCCCGACGTTTTTCGGACCGTCGACTGCCTCGCAGATCGATTTCATATTCGTGCCCAAGGCCTGCCTGGGCGACATCACCTCGGCGGGGCCGCTTCGTCGCCTAGGGAGAGAGCTGCAGGTCATCGCCACCCGCACGCCCAGGGATCACGTCCCAGTCCACGCCTGCATGTACTACTCAATCTCGGCCACCACGGACTCTCACGTGCACTGTGACATGACGGAGCACCGCCGCCTGGGCTACCTGCCGCGGGCCATCCGCTGGAACCGAGAGGCTCTCATGCAGTCGCTTCGTTCGGGCCAAGGCCGCGCGGCCTTCCTCATGGAGCTCGAGACCTACTTGCGCGAACATGCGGACGAGTGGGCCACCATCCAGAACGAGGAGCAGACGCCCAACGCCGACTGGGGTTTCATGATGGACGCCATGATGACGATAGGCAGCAGGCACTTCGCTCAGGCCCCAGAATACCGCCCTGGATATCGCACATTGGCCGCTACCATCCAGCCGCTTTTGGACCAACAGCGGGCCCTCCGACTCCAGCTCAGTGACGACCACTTTTCGGACGGCGCCGAAGGCGCGCTGGCCCTCCTTTCCGTGCAGTGGCAGCTCCGACTCCACACCAAGTGGCTTCGCTCGGCCCGCAGGCAGTACTGGGCGACGTGGCGAATCGACACAGTCGACGAGCTCAACCAGGCCCGACGTCACGGACGCAGCGCCGAGGTGGCCCGCCTGTCCCGACTTCTCGCGGGCACAGGCGTGGGCCCCCGCAAGAGAGACTACAGACGGGCGCCCGTGGCCCTCCCCACTGGGGAGGAGTTGGCCGAGCGCTGGTCGCTGCCGGCTGGCGAGGGGGGCATGGCGGCTACCCACATCGACTGGGTCAAGCAGGCCGAGGACTACATCTACCACGACGTCACGGGCCAGGAGGCGCAGCAGTTCATCGCCCCGTGGACCGAGGAGGGCCTGGGCTGGGCTAAGCGTCGACTCAGAGAGCTGCGCGATTGGCTACGACGGGCTCCCAAGCGTCGTGCCTGCCCACCGTGGTCGGTGCCGCTGGAGTTATGGTGGATGCTGCTTCACCCGTACCGCCGTGTGTCCAGGCGCTACCACGGAGTTGGCTACGAGACACCGCAGATCGACCAGGAGCACACGTGGCGCTTCCTGGTGATCTTCCTCCACAGGCTCCGACGTTCGGGCCAGGTCCCGCTCGTGTGGCATCTGAGCCAAGGAGTGGCGCTCACTTGGAAGAGAGTCATTCATCTCCTCGACCCGTTCGGCAAGGGCTTCATGGCCACGGCTATGGACCCACACGAGCTGCAGGACGAACCTCTTTTCGCTCATGGCTGCGTACCTCATCGGCGCAGAGAGACGGCCATACTGGGCCAGCAGCTGTGCACATGGAAGCTGCGCTCCCTCGGCCTCAATCACGTCACCGACCTCAAGGACATCACCAACGCCTTCGCGTCCACCAACTGGGACAGCCTGGCAGACGCCAACCAGAGCATCATGAAGGACGACCAGGTTTCGTTCGGCCGCCAGCGTTTCCGCTTTGCCGCCGTGATGTTCGGCGACCTCTGCGTGCGCCCCAGCGTCGGGGCTCTCATTGGTGACCCGTGGGCGGTGAAAGTTTTTGTGCGGGACATCAGCACAGTCTTTGCGAAGGTGCAGGAACAGTTTGTAGAGTTTGGCCCCGAGACGGCTACTTGGTGCCAGCTCACGCTCAATTTTGATGGTGAGGAGGTTCTTCTTGATTTGGCGTTTCACTCATACGTAGACGACGCCATTCGGAAGATCGTGGCGCCGCCCGACCTGGCCACGGCCGCGGAGCTCGCGCGGTGGTCCCGAGCATACGACTTGCTTCTCTCTGCTGAGCTTCGACGCCACGGCTACGCGCTCAACCCAGCCAAGAACGTCAGCCTCCTGTCCTTCGTGGGCACGGGGCTACATGCACGTCGGCGTGAAGTGGCGGAAAAAAAAGTTCTTCTTGCAGGGGCCCCAGCAGACTCAACTCGACATCTCGGAGGCCAGGTCATGGGTAACTGTTCGTTTCGGGCCGAGCTTTCGGCCCGCCTGGCGGCCATCTCGGCGGGTTTCTTCTCCATGGGAAAATATTGGTACGCTCGGGGGATCGCCTACACCGAGCGACGAGCCGTGTTCCTGGCCAGGGTCGTGGGCCCCGCGTGCTCCGCCTGCGAGGCCTTCCTGCCGACCCCCAGCCAGATCGACCAGCTCACGGCGCGGGTCGTCTTCTTCGGGCGCAAAGCTATGAGGGGG